AATACAATAGCTTGATGCCATGCAATGACATTCGTTGTTGTATCAATTATATTGATTAAATTGAAAGTATACTGAATACAGATAACATCATTATATTCATAATTAATATAAGGAATTGTTTGATTAAGACAATAATCATGAAGTGTAGAATTAACGTTGGAATTTGAAACGTTATTGTTCGTATATTTATGCCAACAAACAATATGATCTGGTCGATCATGATATGTGGTTAAATAAGTTCGACATGTTTCAAAATATATTCTACGCGTTAAAATTTTGTAGAAAAATACAGTAAGAAGTAAATCAATTTGGATTGGAATGAGCAGAAGATAATCGGCATCTTGTTTTTTTTCGAAAGTAAGTTTATACAATGGTGATTTTGCTTCGACATTCGTGGGTAATGAACTTCTTCGTCTAATTCGAAGATGTGATGATGAAATTTTTCTCGTCGATTCCATTACGTCTCGATGTTTTTCCGTTTCTAACTGCTGTAAAATACTGGAGACAATACTAATGAGAGCTCCTCGCGAAAAAAAATTGGCCGCCGTTCCAAGAAAGTCCAATAGACGAGGATAACTCTTCGATGTATATGCAACATAAGTACAGAGAATAGTCATTAAGATAAGAAAGATATTCGGTATTAGAAATAATATAAGAACAATGTTCAAATCGAGAGCCACACCATCGTCATTAAAAATACCCATTATGCCTATAGATAATAAATTAAAATATTACTTTTCGAATTGATTCTATTTAGATGACATCATTTGTTTTCTAAATATAAATAAAGAAATTGGTGCATATACTTCTCGCATGTTTTTTTTCGTTTTATTATTTTTAGTGTAGTAATATGAAAGCACTATAGCAGACCATGAACACTTCAAGTAAAACGATATGTATTATCTGTATAGTTATTGGAACTTGACGTAGGTGCTAGAAAAAAACATGATATTCAGAATCAATATTCAAAACTATATTCACTATTTAAAATATCTATCATCAAAATTTGAGTGCTACCTAGTTAGCTGTTCGATTCTTTAAACTTTTGCTGAACTTCCAACGACAAAACTTGGATGGTATGTATTTTTTATGTTGATTCCGAGTACTGTATTTATCTAGCACATATATCAAGTTCGGATAATTAAAAATTCGAAATACTGGCCATTTTCCGTGCAACTAACTCATATTTTTTCACTTGAAATGGTCATGATTCGCTACAGTGTTATTATATCACCATACTAAAAATAAATGCTTATCAACGTTGTTTTCTATCATTTTTAACGTTTCTATATTTATTCGTTATTCTAAAACTATTTAATAGAATTTTAAATGTTTCTCCACTAAATTAAGGTAAAGTCTTAACTTTGTTATTACTAAAATGATCACTACAAAAAAGTTTGATAAAACCTTGAAGTTTGAGACAATTTGAATGAGTTGATTATAATAATATTTTTTGCAATGATCCATTTGTTATCTGAAGAGATGCATTCTAAATATCAAAAAAGAGTTAGAACGAAATAATCTGCAATGATAATTTCTTGTCTTCCAGTCGATAATTTGTTCTGTCACTATTTTTACCATTTTTGTTAATTTTCTTTCTTCTTTGTTCCCTTTTCTAATTATTAGTATTTCATCGTATAGCAATTTCCTCTTTCCTGTTTTTTTCTCTGTCTGGTTCTCTCCATCATGTTTTATATAACAAAGAAAAATGATTAGATAAACGATGTAAATGTTAACAATTAAAAGATATTTCTATTCGACTAATATAAGTTTGATGCACTTGATTCCATCGATCTAGTGTCATAATGATGTTATTCGAAAGAATATTCTTGCTAAGGTCATCCTTGACTCTTGTCAAGAAGAAGAAGAGAATAGTTCTAAAATCAATTGACATGATAAATGATGATAATTATTAATAGGATTAATTTTATAATTTTCTTGTCAAAATTGTCATATTTACAAACTTTTAATTCGGATTTTGAAGAATATTATTGTTTATCTTTACAAAATATGTCTCAATGAGTAACTGAAGAAAGGATATAATCTAATAAGAATTTGTTCTGAAAAAATCAATTGAATAGTTATAAGAATTATTGACGATATTTTTAATGTTTTCATTTCAATTATTTACTTTAGATTTATTTATTATTCTGACATGAAAAAAATAAATGAAAACTTTTTCTATTTCACGGTTAATAATAATACTACATATACTATATTGATTGAATTTAATTTGTTCCATTTTAAATGTATAAAATAATTAAAAATAAGTTCGATAATTAATATAAGATTTGATGGGTATAAGTGTGTTCTATTACTGATATTCTTACACCTACACCCACACCCACTATAAATATTCGAAAATAATTACAATTAATAATAATAACTAGAGCGTTCGATACTTCATAGTTATATAGACAACATCATAGTTATCTATTAGTTGATTCATTATTTGTAGTCATATTCAATGATAGTTCATCATTTCATACATATTCAACATTACCATACAGTAATCTACTGAAGATAATGCTTGATGTATCGAAAGTTTCAGTTATTATTAATTATTTTCGTATAAAACTAGTAATAAAACTATGTAAAATTAACTTTTGCAACGCAATAATTTCATGAGACAATCAACGAATAGCATGTTTTTTTTTATTTCACTATATATTATTTTATTTTTTGTATCTTATGTCATTTAATATACAAAACAAGGGAAATACGTGAAATAAAGTTCTTCTTTTCGATTAATTTATTTAAAATTTGACTTAATTTAATTTTAATAGAACTTTCAGATATTCTGATCAATATTGTTGTTCATCTGTAGCAAAGTTTATGTCTAGTTAATGCTCTCAAATGATAAATAATCTCAAATAATGATAATGTAGATATAAATATTAAAAATTCTATATCTTTCTCGATTATTAAATTAAATCACATATAAATTGATAGAAAAAAATAATATTATTTAATTTATTTCATATATTAAGTAAAACAAATTCCATTTGAATAGATGTATATTTTTTAGTATTTATATCGTCATTATCATTATTCGATATTATTATAATATAATATTATTTTATTTCAGGAGATATAAAGTGATGTATTTATCGAACAGTGAATACTTAATTTAATCGAATTTTATTGTGTTTATTGTAGTAAATCCAAGTAGATATATATAATGAAGAGTAACTAAATACATTTTTCTTATTGATTTTTATGTATCTTAGCTAATTGAAGTACTTTACTTTATTTTATTATTTTAGAACATTTAATAAAAGATATTTGTACTTTATTTTGCAGGTAGAAGTAGGTAGAAACCACAGTAAAAAAGTATAATAACTTTACTATATAAGACAGATAAATAAAAATTGATCTAATGCATAATTTTCCGAGTGATCATTTGTACATCTTCTATTCATACGAAATAACTGCACAATACGTATTTCTTTTGTCTTCATCTATTACAGTAAATATAATGCTTATTACGTGGACGATAATAAAATCGTTTTCTGCGTAGGCTCTTCTATTCTTTGTATATTTTTGTTTTCTTTGAATTGAAAGAAAAGTAACGTATGCTTGATTGATCGTTGTAGTCGAAGAAAGAGATAGATATGCGCTTCTCCAATTGGTGTGTCACGTATTGCATTTGTTAATACTTCGTACATGTACAAGTGACAATCGACTATTATATGCTCTTTCTTCTACGTAATAGGTTAGATATATTTTCGTTAAGATAAAGAAAAAAATTGGTGTATACATCAGTAACCCTTGCGATTAAAAAAAGTATATAAAAATGTGCTTTTTATATATTTTTTCTTATTTTTTTTCATATACATTTATTTCTTCTCTACTTCAATCGTTGTGAGCATCATTGAAGGGGTAATTACTAGCGTATTTCTATTTAGTTTACAGTATTTTACTGAAGTATTTAAATATTACAGCTTCTTAATCCAAATAAATCGTTATTTTAGACTATATATATTGCATTTACTAGTGAGAAATGAAAGTAGTAATTCACAAATTGATTGAGAATACTTTTAAGATGCATATTACAATGAAACAGCATGCATTAAATTCTTTTTTATTTTAGAAATAGTTTGCAACAATTATCTGTACGCAAGTTTATCTTTTATTAATCGAAAACGTATACGTACATACAAGTGAACGATGGAATCCGACATAAACCAGGTATGTCACAGTCATTATTATAATAATAATAAAAGCATTTTTATTTTTAAAATATTGAAATCAATAAATGTAAAACATAGATATCTTGAGAGCCGTTTAGTAAAAAATTAGATGGTATATTTTGAACGGTAGTAATTTTAAATAATAAAGAAACTGATATGTAGGATATCACACTAGCTAAAACAGTCATGCGAGCCGTTGACAAGATTCTATAGGATATAGATAATGAAATTCATATCTCAGCAAGCATTTTAGTTGGTAGCCATATGCATTGCCGAAGAAGTTTTTTTCATATAATTTATTTTTTTAAGTTAACTATTCATACTTTTTTTGAATGTATATCTATCTTTTGATACCTAGATTGAACTATTTTGTCTCGGTGATGATACTAGTTCAATTCAAGATTCAGCTGCTATACAACAATCGCCTATTGATGACGAAGAAAATTTAGAGTTAAATTTAAATACACATGACGCAACAGTGGATCAGGTAACACAATCAATGTCGTCATGGAATGTGTATGTATTTTTTTAATGTTGTAGTCTTAGACATAATATTGATGAATTGTTCTAGAAAATGTTATCACTGGACAATACCAGGTTCAATCGTTGGTACTATTGTATTTTTTATATTTACATGTATTATAATGACAATTGGCATTTTAATCGTTTGTTTTACTGCACCAAGGCCACACGGTATGTTCTTATAGCATTTGAATCATTGCAGCGAGAAATAATCTCATGATATGTCTTGGTGTGGCGATATCTACTAATTGAATTTAGTTCCAGATATTTGATAATTTTTATTGTATTCTTTAGCACCAAAATGTGACTTCAATATTTTACGAACGGCCACTAATCCAATTGAATATAACTATGGTCCGCGATCTGTTGCTGTTGGCGATTTCAACAATGACACCTGGATAGATATGGTAGTTGTTAATTCGATTGTTAACACTATCGGTATATATTTTGGCTATGAAAATGGTACTTTTATCAAGCAGATCGAATATTCAACTGGTTTAGCCTCCAATCCTTATATGGTTGCCGTTGGTAATCTTAATAATGATTCTACATTAGATATTGCAATTGCAAACTTTGGCACAAATACCATTCGTATATTTCTTGGGTATGAAAATGGATCTTTTACAAATCAACTAGATCTGTCAACCAGTACATCGCGTCCAATATCAATTAGTTTAATTGATTTGAATAGCGATACAGTACTTGATATTGTCACCATCAATTTTGGAACCAATAGTATAAGCATATTCTATGGTTATGGAAATGGAATGTTTTCGAATCCAACAATGTATTCAACAGGTTATGACTCACTTCCATCTGCATTAGCTGTTGGGGATTTCAATAATGATAACTATATAGACATTGCCATTGTGAATTATGGAACAAACAATATTGGCCTATTTCTTGCTAATAGGAATGATACTTTTGAACAACAGATAACCATTTCAACTGGTTATGGTTCTAATCCATCCTCAATAGCTGTTGGCAATTTCAATAGTGATACATTTGTTGATATCGCTGTCGCAAATCATGGAACAAATACAATCGGTATATTTTTAGGCAATGGAAATGGAACTTTTGCAAATCAAATAAAGTATTCTATAAATTCTGGTTCACCATACTCAATTGGTGTTGGTGACTTCAATCAAGACAATCGATTAGACTTATTTATTATTACTATTGGTGCTAATAATACAGGTCTACTTCTTGGATATGGAAACGGTAGTTTTTTGGATGCAAGAATGAATTCAACGGGATCTATTTCATCGATTTCATTTGCTATATGTGATTTCAACAAAGACAAACGATTAGATGCTATCATCATTAACAATGATACCAATAGCATAGATATTCTCCAGGGTTATTTCGAAGGCTTTTCTCTTGCCACTAAATATACAACTGGATATTCACCATGGTTTATAACTCTTGGTGATTTAAATAACGATGATATACTTGATTTAGTTGCTGCAAATTATTATAATAATACCATAAGTGTCCTTCTTGGGTATGGTGATGGGAGCTTCGCAAAACAACAGACATATTCAACTGGCGCTTCCCCATATGATGTAGCTACGAGTGATTTCAATAACGATAGTTATTTAGATCTAGCTGTTACTAATTATAAAAGCAATAGTGTTAGTATTTTTCTTGGATATGGCAATGCTTCATTTGCAAAACAAAAAACATATTCAACTGGTAGTAATCCACGATCTTTGGCTATTGGTGATTTTAACAATGATGGTCAACCAGATCTAGTTGTTACCAATTATAATGGCAGCAATGTAAGTGTTCTTTTTGGATATGGTAATGGTTCGTTTGCGAATCAAACGCAATATTTCACTGGTATTAATCCGATATCTGTAGTGATTGGTGATTTTAACAATGATACTCAATTGGATCTAATTGTTGCCAATTATAATAGCAGTAGTTTTAGTGTCCTTCTTGGATATGGCAATGGTTCGTTTGCAAACCAAATGACATATGCAACTGGTACTAAACCCCGATCCTTGGCTACTGGTGATTTCAATAATGATGGTCAGTTGGATCTAGTTGTTGCCAATTATGGCAGCACGAGTATAGGGATTCTTCTTGCATATGGTAATGGCACCTTTGCAACACAAATCACGTATGGACTTTCTGTAGGTCCATATTTTGTAACTGTTGGTGATATGAATAACGACACTTATCTGGATATTGTTTTCCTTTTTGCTAGTCAAAATAGTGCATATGTTTTATTCGGATATGGAAATGGTTCGTTTGGATATCAAACAGCATATTACGCTAACACCAAAGGGTACTGCATAGCGATTGGTGATTTTAATAATGATACTCGGTTGGATATCATCATGGGAACCTATACTAATAATTATGTTAGTGTATTGCTCCAATACGATCGGGGAGCTCTTGTAAATAAAATTAATTATGCATCAGGTGGTGGTTCTAGATTGCGAGCCATTGCCGTTAGTGATGTGAATAATGATACTCGGCTGGATATTATTATTAGTAATTCAGGTACTGACAATGTTGGAATTATTTTTGGCAATGGTAATAGCACTTTCGAAAACCAAGTGATGATCAATTTAGATTCAAATTCTCAGCCATCATCAATTACCATGAGTGATTTCAATGGTGACACTCAGTTAGATATTGCTGTAGCCACCTATATTACAAAGCAAGTAGATATGTTAGTTGGAAATGGACGAGGATCATTCATAACTCAAGCAACTCATCAAGCTCCTTTGGCATATCCACCACTAGTTATCTCGCCTGGTGATTTTAATAATGATGGACGATCAGAAATCGTCGTTGGATATGGTGATGGTGATACTATTGATATTCTTGTTTCATATAACAGCGGATCTTTTACAAATCAAACGATCTATCCAACTGGCTCCAGTCCATACTCTGTAGTAGTCAATGATTTTAACAATGATGATCAGTTAGATTTAGCTGTTACCAATTCTGGTAGCAACACTATAAGTGTTTTTCTTGGATATAGCAATGGCTTATTTGCAAATCAAACCATATATTCAACTGGCACTACTCCACAATCACTGGTTGTTGGTGATTTTAATAATGATGGTCAATTGGATCTAGTTGCTGCTAATTACGGTGGCAATACTATCAGTATTCTTCTGGGGTATGGTAATGGGTCCTTTGCTAATCAAACAACTTTTTCAACGGGTACTAAACCATTTTTTGTAGCTGTTGGAGATTTCAACAACGATACTCGATTAGATTTAGTTGTTACCAATTATGGTAACAATAATATTGGTGTTTTTCTGGGATTTGGTAATGATTCATTTGCAAATCAAGTTACATATCCCACTAATACTAATCCAGAATCTGTAGCCGTTGGTGATTTTAACAATGATGGTTGGTTAGATTTAGTTGTTGCAAATTCTGGTTCTGATAATGTTGGTATTTTTCTGGGATATGGTAATGGGTCCTTTGCAAATCAAATAACTTTTCCAACGGATACTCATCCATGCTTTGTAGCTGTTGGTGATGTCAATAACGATACTATATTGGATATCGTCGCTGCTACCCTTGGTTATCGCACAGTCAGTATTCTTTTAGGGTATAGGAATGGTTCTTTTGCAAATCGAACGATATATTCAGTGGGTGTTCTCCCAGAATCATTAGCTGTTGTTGACATCAATAATGACGCTCGTTTAGATATCATTGTCATAAATGCAGATAGCAATGATATGAGTGTGTTATTAGGATATGGGAATGGCTTATTTGCAAATCAAACTAAATATTCATTAGGCACTGTTCCACAATCTATAGCTATTGGTGATTTTAACAATGATACACTACTTGATATAGTTGTCACGAATTCAGGTGATAACAATGTTATGATACTATTTGGTTGCTTTAATCAAGTTTTTGTAAAGCAAATATCAGTTTCAACCGGCACAGATTCTCAAACACAATCCATTGTTGTTGGTGATTTTAACAATGATAATAAAATGGATATTGGAGTAGCTAATTCAGGTACCAATAATATTGGTATTTTTCTTGGATATGGAAATATTACTTTTACAAATCAAACAACATATTCAACTGGTTTAAATTCATCTCCATACTTTGTAGCAACTGGCAATTTCAATAATGATACTCAATTAGATATTGTTACTGCTAATTATCAATCCGATACAATAAGCATTTTCCTGGGATATGGCAACGGTACATTCGCAAATCAAACATCGTATTCAACTGGTTCATCTTCATCTCCTTACTCTGTAGCTGTTGGTTATTTTAATAATGATACCAAACTTGATATTGTCGTAGTTAATTATAATAGCAACCAATTAGGTGTCTTTCTTGGACAGGGTAATGGTGCATTCGATAGTATAATCCTATTTGCGATGCCATATGGATCTCATTCATTTTCTGTTATTATCGGTGATTTTAACAGTGATGGAAAATTGGATTTTGCCGTGGCAAATAATGGTACTGACAGTTTAAGTCTTTTTTTACAGATTTGCTAATTTCGTTTCTTTTATTGTTCCATTCTCTTTTTATTATTCGATTTTGAGTTCATACTAAATATATTTGCTTTCTTTTTAATAATCAAATATTTTTTAAGATAAAATTTCAATATGAGAGTCTTATAGGAAGAAAAGTCTAATACAAACGGTGCAGAATTAAAATATAAACTCTCTTTAGTACACTTTTATGATAAGTAACGATGTGAGAATGCGATAGTTGGAACTGTGTACATTATAATTATCTTATACTCACATCTAGTTTTTTCATTACGAATAGAATGTCGGTGTTCTTGAGAACAATAAAATACCCATATCCTTGATTGTCATTTATAAATTCAACATAATCATATCAAACTTTTTACTCATTTTAATTTAATAAATTTTCTTTTATTTTACAATTCGATATTAAGAAAAAATAGTTCTATTTTATTATGTAGAATGGTTTAATGAAATTTAATTTCATATTTTTAAATTCGATGATTATAAACTTTTGAAGGAACAATAAATCCTTCTCAATGTTAAAAAATGGTTTTATTTCAGCAAGTTTCAACATATTTAACTTTTAAATTATTTTCTTTAATTGAAAAAATATACTTATAATAAAGGAAAATATCGATGAAAATGCTTTGGTCGAAAAAAAGACTTATCTATATGAAGTCCTGTTAATTTCACGCAATAAATATGTGTTGCATTATTCGTGAAATTGTTTGTTATCGTTGTAAGTGATCCATATTCGATGCAAAGATCCGACAAGCAAGGTAGATCAGTCTTCTTATAGAAAAGAAATTGTTCAATATAATTAACATGTACATCAACAAGATTGAGAAGAATAACATGAGGAAACTTAATCGGTATCGATGAATGTTGTTTGTTGGTTTGTTTGTATTTCACGATTCAATATAATCAACTCTCAAAGACAGGGAAAATCTTCAGATTGTTTTTTGAAAAATCCATCACAGTTATAATACAGTGTATCAAGAAATTTTATTTATTAGATTTATAAATAGGAAATTAAAGAAAAGAAAAAAGCTGTTGCATCAATGAAGTAAATTGTAGAAGAAAAGAATAAAAAAACAAAAAAATGTATTTTTCGAATATATTGTGTAAGGACTTTCACTTCTTAGGGATATACTAGTAGGATTTGTAGTATAAGTTGATTTCCAATTGCATGCGGCATTGTTCTGATCGTTGCTAGACCATGTTTCATTTTTTTGCAGCCACATTAATGTGTAATTCTTGCTCATGGATAATCCTAATCCGATAACTTCCATAATTTGTGTCTGAGATTTCTGAATTACTGGAATTTGTTTACTATTTACTATGATATTCGATGAAACTCCACTTAATCCGTAGAATGTTAACGAGTTTAAGATCAAATTAGACATTGGAGCATAATTATTTTTGATGATCTCAATCTTTAGTTGACGACATTGTGATGACCATTTGTATATTGCATAAAAGTAAGCGTTTGTTTCAATCGTATCAATTGTTTCACCGTCATCATAGAATAAATCTCCTTCAGCATTGCCATTCGAATCTAATACAATGATCAGATTGAATGGATTCATTCTAATGTGAAACAATACAGTCCATTAATGAAAAAGAAACAATATCTATCCGATTACTTACCGCGAATATTTAGTATTATTTGCATAGAGTTGAGTAGGAATGATTATTCCACCTCGGAGCAAAATCGGAATCGTAGTCAAAGGTGCTTGTAAGATAGTATATTGTGCTTGAACAGTGACAGGAACACCTGTATAGTAATTATACCATTTCGATGCAGGAATATAGACTTGAACTTCTCTAACCCCATCATCAGTAACGGGTGCTATCATAATATGAGATCCAACTAGAAATTGTAAATAGATATCGAGTGTTATCTTATCTGTGGGATATTCGTGAAATAATGGTCGAATAACAGTGGAACCTTGTGTGTGAGCTTTGTGAAATAATGTATAATAATGAGGAAGAAGTGTGTATCGAATGCGCAAAGCAGAAACCATAATAGCTGTGGCTGAAGGTTCCCATGCACCCGGATCTTGATCAGGTAATTTCCAGATATTATGCTAAAAACGGATAGAATAGACATCTTATCAATTCAGATAAAAGGACATACATTTCGTGCGAGTGGATAAAAAGCACCGACTTGTTGCCATCTGAATAACATAAGCATCAGAAATAAACTTAGAATAAACAGATCATGTAGCAAGTTTTCTTACCGTATACACATTTCTTGTGTAGGAATTTGATCAAAACCACAAATATCTGCACCGACCATCGGAATACCGAACCAATTAAATTCAACTAATCCAATTAATGATAATTTCATTTCACTCCATAGTGCTGCATTATCACCCAGCCAATGAGCACTCCATTGGCCAGAACCAACAAAAGTCGAACGAGGTAATAGTAAACTTCGTTGTCCAGTGAGTGATCGTATTATATCTAATGTAGGTTTTGTTTGACTCCATCCATAGAGACTAAAGAGACAACATTATAGCAAATTGTAAAGTAAAAACAAACAAGATTGAACATTTTACCTGTGTACATCATAATGACGATACATCGCTTTGCCTGTCTTTGAATCAATTTCACCCTGTATAGCAGACATACAAAGAGTACGATCGGAGAGACGTGAAGTTCGATTCACTGATTCATCGTAACGAAATGCAGCTTTCGTACGATAAGGTGGATCATCCCAAGTGCTTCGCGGACATTTTAATGTATAATTGCTTCTAGTTATATTCCAATTCCATGGTGCATCCTCATTCGTACCGAACATAGCTAGGCAAAAAGTTATATCTTTCAACTAAATATTGTTCACAAAAATACTTACCCGGCTCATTCATATCGAGCCAAACTCCATCAAAAGTTAAGTTAACACGACGAAAATCTGTGATCATTTGTGCCCACCAGATGTGTGTTCGATTAGTAAAAAAATCTATTATTATAAAAGAAAACAATCATATGTCTCCTTTTCGAAAGATTAGCTTCTACCTGGAGAGAAAACTTCACCTGGCCAACAAGCACCTTTCATTAAAGATCCATTTTCCCATTTAATAAAAACATCCTGTTTGATCCCTTCAATAGCTGGAGTGTAGTACTTTTGATCATCGATCGTGAACGGATCCAACATGATAATAATTCTTATGCCATTAGTATTCAGTTGTAAAAAGTATTCTCTCAAACCACGATAATTAATAGGATCGATTGTGAATATTTTATTTGCATCCATATAATCAATATCAGCATATTGAACATCGATTGGAACACCTGCATCTCGATTTCGTTGGTTCACTGTTTGCATATGTGTCAAGTTTCCATAACCCCAACGGCAAAGATGGAAGCCAAGTGACCAATATGGTGGCATTACAGGTCGACCAATCAGCCAAGTATATTGTTGAATGACTTGCTCGGGTGCAGGACCCAGAAAAACGAAAAAATCGAGAATACCCCCAATAGTACGGATAGTAACTGATGGATCAGGTCCGAACGAATAATCCATTGCATTAGAATTGAGCAAAAGAACACCGTGCATCTGACCTGATGGTGTTTCATTTGAATTGGGTATTTGTTCCATCACAAGGTAGAAGGGATGTGTTCCATAATGATTTGCATTTGTATTCCAAGTAGTAGCTAAAACAAGATATTTTTCAAATAATGAATTAAATCAGGTTATTAAAAATAGATTAATGGTCTGTGTACAGCACGTACCTTGATCTCGACCGAAAATGCCCCATATTTGACGCGTAGAAACATTATGTTTGAGTGTCAAATGATTATTCTCTCCGAATCCATACACATGTGGTGATTGAAGTCGAGAGACGATTTGAAGAAATTGATTGTTAAGTACAAGACCACCGATGGATGTATCGAACAGAGTTGTTTGATTTACACGACGTTTGATCGCAAATGATAGAATATTGTCATTAGAACTATTAGATGAATAAATGAACTCGTACTGAGCTGATGTAGTTTGACCGGTAGAGGCTTTTAATGGAACTGGTACCTGAAAAAAAGAGAATGATCATATCCAATGAAATCCAATAATTTTCGATCTTACTTCGTATCGCTGATGATCAGCATCGTATAATTTGAATCTAATGATATCGTCGGTATAATATTGAACATCAAGTATGATATTCTCGATCGGTTCTGGAAATGGACTAGTCACTGCCTCATTGCGCTTTAGACGTAGTCGTTTTCCATTTTCTATTTGTTCTTCATTTCCTTGCAATAAGTAACCATAATTAGGTTGAAAATAACATGGAATACCACTTAAATTAACAGTATCATCAAACAGACAGTGGCGTGCTAAACAGGCTTCTTTTGAGAAATTAGAATATTTTGCTTCGGCCTCAGGATAGCAGTCGATTCGACCAAGACCAGCTACTGATGATGATTGCCTAGTGACAGGAATGATCATGATCATTAATGATATAATTGTAATAATATAAGATGAGATCATCATGGACAAAGTATAACGACAAAACCTATGAAAAATTTTTATCTTCACCTTGTTACTTTTAAAATATACTTATTGTGTTATTATGTCAATGCATATATATTTCTAAATTGTCTTTGAGTGTGAAGGTAATATGATCAATTAGATATCTATAAATAAGTGAGAACAGTATATTTATATCGATGATGCATTCATGCACAACTATCTCGATCATTACATGTACACAGCCAACTATTTTTTAACGTTCTGCTTGTTTAAAGAGAGAACAATAATACATCCTTGAGTAATGTAATAAATATCACGTGGAGATTCGATAGCACATGTATCATTAAACAGAATATTCATATTTTATGTTTATTATTTAAATACGAAAAATATTCAGTAAAAATCCTTACCTCATTCTCATCCTCTAAAAATAGTCTAATCCACGATATTTATATCTTACTGATATAAATAATTTAACATCCATTTACTTAGAAGGTTATCTTGATTAATGTCAATAAAACTGTTCTAACGCTGTATTTTAGTATAAAATACTTTCGATGTAAAATGAACTTTTCTTATCAAATCAAAAGCCTTTTCATAATACCAAATTGCACTGAAACAAACTCATCTTTATATGAATCAAACAGAATAAATTCACTCCTATTTTTAATTGTGACATATGCATCTTAGACTATCGCCGATTTCCATCATAAAACCCAGTATTAAAGCTTCTAAATCTATAGATTAAATTTATATATAGACATACAACAATCTGAATACATTTGACTAATTATCGTGAAAGATTTTTCTTTCTTTCCACATATGACTTAAATTTAATCGAAATGCAAATTTTTCAAAAAAAGTTGTTTGTGATGTGCATCTGTTTTATATTTTGATGTTAGATATACGTCATGGATTTTTTTTTCTTTTCTTATCTTCGTTACTTTTTCGACTTTCTTTTTGTTCTTGTGTTATCTCTTGGTGTAGTTATTATGTTGTTATATAGAGAAGAACACATAGTTAAATAAATATGAGTGAATCGAAATTCAAAACTATATTTTCTTTTATAATTGATTTTGTTCTGATATAAATTCACAAAAAAATAATAATAAGTAAAAAAATAATCAGCACTTCATTTATATTCAATATATAAACGACTGTATCATGTAAATTAAGATATAAAAAAATTAAAAATTCTTGCGAGCCATGACGATCATCATTAATGCAGCACTCAATAAACCAATAGTTGATTTTGTTGTAGAAACACCGGTATTACATCTATATCCATTACAGCAACATACATATGTTCTAGCTCCATTGTACGTCTTATATGAGCATCCTCTCGAACTGCAGAGACCTGGTGCAGCTATACCGCGAGTAGCAACGGCAGCAGGCGAATTTGTAGCGCTCATTTTCTGTAAAGAAACTTATAATCTGTAAGGGATTCTGTCATAGAAATTGCAAAGAAAAATACTTACAGCACACCACCCATTGCTGGAATAAGCTTCCGTGACTCTTGGATCAGGCAAATAGAATGGGGCTGGACAATTTGCACAAAAGTAACAGATATTACCAGTTTCTGGTAGAGTACCTATGTTGCATAGATTGTTATTACAACAACACACCCATGTACGGACTCCGCTATATATCTTCCATGAACAACCATTGTAAGTGCAAAGACTAGGTGCGGCATCGCCAAGCGTATAAGGAGCATTATATGAAGAGGAAGCGCTCATTGACTATAAATAAATTAACCATTCAAAGTATTAGAATAATATAAAATAACAATAAAATTAACTTACCGCACACCAGCCTGTAGTTGAACGAACTTGTCTAACATTAGGGTTTGACGAATAGAATGGTCGTGGACAATTTGCACCACAAAAATAACAAGATGAAGCGGCACGTTCATTGGATACTTGCATCGTATTATTATTACATTCAGCAACACCTATGATAAATATTCAACTGTTATTTTAATGATACTTTTGACAATTTCAATTTATTCATACCAATATATATCACCAGCATAGATAAAATTGCGTACCAGGTATTCATTGCAAAAATTTTAACAAGTAAAAGTCAAATTAGAAGTGAAAATATGAGTATGAAGAATAAGGACAAACGACTTGTTTTTATATTAACTTTTTATGACGTCTTTGTCTTGCACCATCTACGCACAAATTGAGTCACTCAATGAAGATAACAGTGTTGCTAGTTACTATCTGATGGAGGCGAACGCGTAATAAATAAATAATAAACCGATTGATAAAGAAGCATAAGTTGTGCAATTAATTCTGAATCAACTAATTCTTATCAGTTCCAGGTAAATATGCATAAATGGATTTGTTAATATAATTATATACTTTTTACTCTTAATTCAAGAATGTTTCACTTCTTCATTATTAGTAATAATGTCATTTAAGATGATGAGTAATAGCAAATTGATACATTAAACAGATAATCGATATTTTTATTCAAGAAATAATATTGTGTAATTTATATTATTTGATAACTTAATGTGCTCTTTAGTTATTTATTCATTTTATGATATTCCGTTCGAAAATACTTATTTTCACGATCGTATTCTAGTTACCAACATGCCGTTTCTTTTACGATTCTTTCATGAAACAGATTATCGCCTTGGCAAATACTCGGCTTACATTCTGATTGTCAATATGTTATCAAACAAAACGCATAATCATGCATGTGAGTAAAAAGAACAGATTGAAAGTAGTTTTATTACTGGCTCGATAAAACAGTATATGAGAGAAATGACAGGTAGTCAACGATTTATTTAAGGATATATCATAATAATCACAAAATTGTTGCTCGTTCTTTTTTTAGCATCTGTTTTATTACTAATGAGAAATAAATCATCAATGAATGTAGATCTTTGCCGTTGCGAATTCTTAAAACCTACCTGATAAATGACATTTATCTTATGAATCATTCTGATGTTAAATACTCAAGATAAATAGATTTTCCTATAATCTCTTACAAAAAAAATAATCACAATATTTAGAGCATGGATACTGGAATGTTAATCAATGTATAACGAATAGTTATCCTCTTTCATGATTCTTGATTACTGTTTGTCAAGTATAAACAAATAATCAATGTTTTCACCCTACGATTGTTAACATAATTTTTGTTGTATTTTTAGAAAAACAAATTTTGATTGATTTCTATGTTTTTTTTAATAATAAAGATTTCTCACGGAAACAAATATACGGCATTCATTTTATATTATGATTAATTCTATTTCAGAGAGATGATATTAGAATTCGTCTATTAGAGGTTCTACAAAGGGACACATTTCTCTTCAGCTAATATTCTTTTTATTATTCAAAATAGCGCCTTCGAATTGAAAGAAAAACTATCGAGATATTACTACTTTGTTCGATTAATCGTAATACACGATAATAAAATACATGGTTTGTTAATTAAGTGAGAATGTCTAATCCATAATCAATTTCTATATAATATCTATTCGAAAGAAAGAATATGTTAAATAATTCATAATATGCTTTTAACTTGATATATACCAGAAAACCTGTCATCAAATTTGACAGTATCCATGTAAAGTAAACATTATATATAAACAATTTCAATAGTAAGTATACATTATTTCTATAAACGAACAATTATTGTATAACTTATATTTATCACAATTATGATATTTAGTAAAAATGATACAGTAGATGAACTATCAACATTATTCGATATCACACCTAAATCTAACACATAATCGGTCTGCAATTGTATGAAGTGGTTGACTACAAGATGTTTTCATGCTTATTGATGATGATGATGAACGTGTTAAATCAGTAATATTAATTAGATACGCATGATATTTGTCTGATTCTATCTACCAATTTCATTAGATATAGCACGATTACGAGATCGATCACGTCGAAAACAATGATTCACTATCCACGAGATGAGAAAACAGAATCAAAATAAACATTTGTTCCACTTCTTTAATTTTATTCAAAAATTCTTGGATCAAACATAAAACAAAACTTAATCAAACTGATTCAATTGATAAAAAATTCCAATACAATCGTACATATTTTCGTTCTGTAGTAAAACATGAAACAGAGAGTTCGTCGTAGGTGTTTTATTATCTCAAGGTTGTATGACG